AGAGGAGGAATGGGAGAAGGTCATGTGGTCTGATGAGACAAAAATATAACTTTTTGGTCTAAACTCCACTCGCTCGTGTTTGGAGGAAGAAGAAGGATGAGTACAACCCCAAGAACACCATCCCAATCGTGAAGCATGGAGGTGGAAACATCATTCTTTGGGGATGCTTTTCTGCAAAGGGGACAGGACGACTGCACCGTATTGAGGGGAGGATGGATGGGGCCATGTATCGCGAGATCTTGGCCAACAACCTCCTTTCCTCAGTAAGAGCATTGAAGATGGGTCATGGCTGGGTCTTCCAGCATGACAACGACCCGAAACACACAGCCAGGGCAACTAAGGAGTGGTTCCGTAAGAAGCATCTCAAGGTCCTGGAGTGGCCTAGCCAGTCTCCAGACCTGAACCCAATAGAAAATCTTTGGAGGGAGCTGAAAGTCCGTATTGCCCAGCGACAGCCCCAAAACCTGAAGGATCTGGATAAGGTCTGTATGGAGGAGTGGGCAAAAATCCCTGCTGCAGTGTGTGCAAACCTGGTCAAGACCTACAGGAAACGTATGATCTCTGTAATTGCAAACAAAGGTTTCTGTACCAAATATTAAGTTCTGCTTTTCTGATGTATCAAATACTTATGTCATGCAATAAAATGCAAATTAATTACTTAAAAATCATACAATGTGATTTTCTAGATTTTTTGTAAGTAGGAAAACCTGCAAAATCGGCAGTGTATCAAATACTTGTTCTCCCCACTGTAGATACTTTTGTACCTGTTTCCTCCAGCATCTTCAGCATCTTCACAAGGTCCTTTGCTGTGGTTCTGGGATTGATTTGCACTTTTCGCACCAAAGTACATTAATCTCTAGGAGACAGAACGCGTCTCCTTCCTGAGCAGTATGACAGCTGCGTGGTCCCATGGTGTTTATACTCGCATACATTGTTTGTACAGATGAACGTGGTCCCTTCAGGCATTTGGAAATTGCGGTCTTGGCTGATTTCTTTTGATTTTCCCATGATGTCAAGCAAAGAGGCACTGAGTTTGAAGGTAGGACTTAAAATACATGCACAGGTACACCTCCAATTGACTCAAATTATGTCAATTAGCCTATCAGAAGCTTCTAAAGCCATGACATCATTTTCCTGAATTTTCCAAGTTGTTTAAAGGCACAGTCAACTTAGTGTATGTAAACTTCTGACCCACTGGAATTGTGATACAGTGAATTATAAGTGAAATAATCTGTCTGTAAACAATTGTTGGAAACATTACTTGTGTCATGCACAAAGTAGATGTCCTAACCGACTTGCCAAAACTATAGTTTGCTAACAAGAAATGTGTGGAGTGGTTGAAAAATGGGTTTTAAATGACTCCTACCTAAGTGTATGTAAACTTCCGGCTTCAACTGTATGATATACCTGAGCTGTTGTCAGACAGAAGTTAAAACCTTCTGGTTTCTGGGAAATTGTCATTTTACATAAAAAGGGGTGGTCTGAATGGAACTCCTGAAAGGTAACTTTATAATAATAATCTGGGGAAAAGGAAGGTTCATAGTGATCGGGGTCATTTCCAATAGGGCAATCTGGATCCCCAATAAAGGGTGAAACAGTGGCAAGATGCGTCAGGTCATTTAAGTTCACTTCTTTGGTCATGACCATCTGGTGGGCAGGAGATACTGCTGTTTCACACAATCTCCTCACCAAGGTCATCAGGCATGAGAACATACAGAACATTCTTGACCCATCACCACACAGGTGCCTCCCTGAGATGCTAGGATAAAAAAAAGAATTTATGCACTCACTAACTGTAAGTCGCTCTGGATAAGAGCGTCTGCTAAATGACTAAAATGTACAGAATAAAAATATTCCAAAATATGCATCCAACGCCAATCTATTCTGTAAGACCATAGTACGCATAGCCACAAGTTCAGCAGTTAATTCTTCAATAGCATGACATAGGCAGCATAGCATGATCCTGACCAGTTTGTAGGCAGATAATAGTAGGCTTTCCCCCCACACACATAAATAGTTCCACTTACTGTACTGAGGAAGTAGGTTTAGCATACACACTGGTATTATTGAGTCTATAATCTATTCTCAATGACATGTTAGGGTGGAATGTTACATTTTTCAACAGTAAGGGTAGGGTAAGGTTATTGTAGACAGAAAGGTTATATTTACAGTGACTTTCCCCCAACTGGGGACCAGTTCCATTTTCTATATAACCCAAATAACCTGGGGGAGAGTATGCCCTGGTGATGGGTTGCTTGGGCAGAGAGGTGTGATTATTAAAATCAAATATTCTCATATAAAAGCACCTCATCCTCCACCCAATCAAGCTCTCGGTCTGAAAGGTTACCTGCTTTGGTCCACATCAATATTTCATAAGCATTAAGGGGTATAGCTAGCAATGGCATAGTCTCAGCATTGTCTGGTAACAGTCCACAAACCCAACAATCGGATACATTCTGTAGTACAGAAACATTACTAGCTACTTGTAAGAAAGTGTTTGACCCGGGGGAAACCCCATAATGTTCATGTTCTCTTTTTCTTCTCTTCAGCTCAGCGGGGTCATCAGAGTCCAGGTTCAGGTCGGCGGGGTCATCAGAGACCAGGTTCAGGTCAGCGGGGTCATCTACTTCTGGGCTTTCCCCTGTGGAAGCCGGGTCTCGTTGGACCGAAGAGGTCGGGGAGAGGTTACTAGCACGTTCACCCGCCTCTGGCTCGAAGTCTGCTACAACCCAGAGGATACCCACAGCCACAATAGCTGCGAGTCCCAGGGTAAGCAGAGTGCTCCTACTGGGTTGTAGGAGTAACAGGAGTAGCATCTTCTTCTGGCTCACCTACTTGCTTACAGTGGATCCTGGTGTCTTTCCCTAAGCACTTTGCCAGCGTTGGGGTGGTGAGAGCGACACGATGTGGTCCCTTCAACATTTGTCGTGCCTCCTGACCATTACCCAATCTCCAGGCTGGAGATCGTGATAGGTACGGTCGTCTGGGGGAGTTCGGGCCTGTGAGTCAACAGCTCGAATACAGTTAGTCAGAGCTATACAGTGCTTAATTATAGTGTCATTCAACAGATGCAGATCTTAGACTGCAGCTGGTGGTGTGGGATTCCTCATGCGATGTGCCATCAGTACCTCATGTGGACTGAGGCCAGTTTTCCTGACTGGGGTGGAACGCATTGAAAACAAGGCTATGGGTAGAGCATCCACTCAGGTAAGTCCTGCTTGAGCACATATTTCTGCCAGTTTATTTTTCAGAACACTGTTGTAGCGTTATACAAGTCCAGAACTTTCCGGGTGAAACGGTACATGCAAATGTATCTTAACTTGCATCATGTCACACAATTCATTCATTATCTTTGAGTTTAAATGTGTCTCCCAATCTTAATCATAACTTTGTGGTACACCGAATCATGGAACAATATCATGTAACAGGCATTTAGCCACAGTCTTTGCTTCCTCATTAGATGTGGGGAAGGCTTCAATCCATTTGGAGTATCTTTCAACCATTACCAACATATATTTTATTCTTTAACAGACAGGCATGTGAACAAAATCACTTTGCTTATCTACAAAAGGGCCCCAGGGGACTGGTAGGCTTGACAAAGAGGTCGGTACTGGCTTTCCTGCGTTGTGTTCTTGACAAATTAGACATTGGGCACAGATTTGTGCGGCGATCATAGTAAATTTGGGTGCGTACCATTCTTTTCTACAAGCACTTACCATCATTCCCCCTTTGGACACATGACTCACACTGTGATTCATCTTTCCAAAAAAACAACAACACTGCCAGTTAAATAAAAATAAACTAAATCAGAATAACAAATAAAATTAGAATTACAACCCTTGATAACTCCACAAGGAAATAATTTGATCCCATAAGGGAATTCAAGGAATAGTCAAATAGAGCTTCCCTCACACCACTCATGCACTTGTTGTGTGTAAGTAGCTCACCCCCCCTTTGTGCTTTCTTCACAGTTCAGGGGCAGCGCGCTGTCTCTCTCCTTCTCGCCCGTCCCAATCAGAATTAGAATTATTGATAAATTATAAAGAAAAAAAAGACTGAGATATAAATACAAATCTTGTGAGATTTGTATCAACAACAATACACTTCTTCATACTTTTCATATTTTAAATTTCAACCAATGTCACTGATCTTTCTAGCGAGGGTGATCAGGCCTCACCAGAAGGTCAGAACAGAGGTCAGAGGTCATTCAAGAACATTAAGTGAGTCTGTTCTTTCCCTTTTCTTTCCCTGTACTTCAGACTCATTGTTTTAAATCATGTTAAACATTCTCTAGACCAGGTTTACATGTGATTTTTCAGTACATTTCTCATCAGGAGAACTTACATGTGTTCAAACAAAATTCGGACAATAGACACTTCAGTACATTTAATGTGTGTGCCCTTTAAGATGCATCCTTTCTAACCGTGATGAACCTACTAAAACCAAATAGAAAAACCCCATACAATAAACCAGACACGGTATTAACACCACTAACAAATATTCATAAGTATAGACGGGTGGGTTGTGTGTGTATGCAGGTGTGTTTGTGGTAAAACTTAGGGATCCGGGTACCTTTATACTTTATAGTACTGCAGAATTTCACTAACTGCTCTCCCAAGGCACCTGCCTCAGGAAGCATTTCAAAGGGAGAGATACAGAATCATTGTTAAACTCATCAGAAAACTTGGTAGTGGACATTCCATCAGTCCTGGAAGAAAAAATAAACATGTACTTAGTTCACTATGCTACATCTTAAATCAGTCCTAAGAATGAATATTCAGTACTACTATGCTATGTACCACCCTCCCTTTTTCAATGGAGCTTACTGCATTTTGGGCAGGAAGCCTTGATAAAACCATGTGTATACATAATCATACTGGAGACAAATCAGATGATATAGGGTCCCATTAAGTATTTAATTAAATATTTGACATTGGATTTCTGTCGTTTTGTATTGATGGGAGTTGTAGTCTGTAAGGGATTTATACCATATCTCGTTATTACCTGGGTTCTAGGCACTCCTTAATCTTGGCGATAGACAGGATGTATGGTCCAAAATGTTGGGCAATGGTGGTTAGGTCCGAGTTCTCCTGCTTCAGCTGCTGCAGGTCGTGGAGCTGTGCTAGAATGTGGTCAAACACAAATACCATGTCAAAGTATGGAACAAAGCACATGCATCACATCCAAACACACGTGTAAAAGCATTGAATTAGATCATGATGCATGTTACCAAGTCCACATTAACATACATATAACAGATCGATATTTCGCTTACGGGTAAACCTTACCTTCATATATCTCCTGCTCATTAGTGTCCCTCTGAAAGGTCTCCTCCCAGATCTAAAGGGAAATAATCATCCTCTAAGGCAAAATTCAGTTTATATTGAACAGTAAACAATTATTCATGTGCACCAAAACATGTGAGCTGCTGTCTAATCACTCCTAGACATCCTAAATATGTCCCCACTGTTAGATATGGGGCCTGTGGAGGTACTTCTTCAAACAGGGTCCTCATGTTCTCCACAGAGCAGTACTGAGAGGTGACATCTGCTGATGTAAAAAGGGCTTTATAAATACATTTGATTGATTGATTGATCTGTCCGTCGATATGCAGGGAGCGGTCCAGGATCTCATCCATGGTGTCTGTGTTGATGAGGGAGTGGTACTTGGTCAGGTCCCTGTGTAGCTCCTGTAACTGGTCCTTCAAGTTCTAGATCTCAGTCTGGAGGATTTGGGTCAATAAAACACACACACACACACACACCAACACTGTCACCCTATGGCCGAGCCCCAGGGCATGTCACTGAGGGGCGGGGAGTGGCAGGACATGGAGAGGGGTGGCCCAACCACAGGGCATTAGGGCACGTTCACTCTGTCTCATATTTATTACGGTATTTCCTTGCCGCAATTGTTAAGGTGTTGAAGGATCAAGTGCCACCCTCAAGGGTTATGCACAAATACTTCAAATGAGGATGAGGTAAAGATACTATGTTTCATTTTAAGGCTCTAATTATGTACTTGCGTATCTTTCCCAGCCTATCTATCCCATTTTATATCCCTTAAGTTCAATATTACATTTTGTTCACAACTTCTCCTCACTGCTAATGTTCCAGAGAGAGTGATTCCTAGTTGAAGCGTGTACTTTAAAACCTTAACTCAACACTCTGTAGAATGCCATGTTTACAACTAACAATGCAAAACATTTGCTTGTCGAGTTCCAGTTCAGAAAATAACTTTGCTATAAAAATGGAGAACAGTAGAACCACAGTACCTTGCTTCATCTATTTGCAACAAATGGAAACAATAAACTATTGTAAACTGTACTTGAGTCCCTTAAGTGCACTGTTGAGGCCTGGCTTAACTGAAGACAGCTAATTCTTGCTGTCTCTAGTGAGCTTTAAGACAGAGACACCAGGACAGGCAGACAGTGGGTCCTGACCTGGCTTTCCTCACTCCTTACCACCACCACTACTACTACTGACACCAACACCACCACTACTACTGCCACCACCACCACTACCACTGGAGTAATAGTTACAGTGCCTTCAGAAAGTATTCATACCCCTTAATTTATTCCACATTTTGTTGTGTTACAGCCTGAATTCAAAATGAATTAAATATTTTCTCACTCATCTACACACAATACCCGATATTGACAAAATGAAAACAATTTTATAAAAATCACATTTACATAAGTATTCACACCCCTGAATCAATGCATGTTAGAATCACCTTTGGCAGCGATTACACCTGTGAGTCTTTCTGGGTAAGTCTCTAAGCGCTTTGCACACCTGGATTGTACAATATTTGCACATTATCCTTTTAAAAATTCTTCAAGCTCTGTCAAGTTGGTTGTTGATCGTTGCTAGACAGCCATTTTTAAGTCTTTCCATAGATTTTTAAGCCGATTTAAGTCAAAACTGTAACTAGGCCACTCAGGAACATTCAATGTCGTCTTGGTAAGCAACTCCAGTGTATATTCGGCCTTGTGTTTTAGGTTATTGTCCTGCTGAAAGGTGAATTTGTCTCCCAGTGTCTGTTAAAAAGCAGACTGAACCAGGTTTTCCTCTAGGATTTTGCCTGTGCTTAGCTCTATTCTGTTTACTTTTATCCTAAAAAACGTCCTAGTCCTTGCCGATGACAAGCATACCCATAGCATGATGCAGCCACCACCATGCTTGAAAATATGAAGAGTGGTACTCAGTGATGTGTTGTGTTGGATTTGCCCCAAACATAAAGCTTTGTATTCAGGACATGAAGTTCATTTCTTTGCCATTTTTTTTGCAGTTTTCCTTTAGTGCCGTATTGCAAACAGGATGCATGTTTTGGAATATTTTTATTCTGTACAGGCTTCCTTCTTTTCACTCTGTCATTTAGGTTAGTGTTGTGGAGTAACTACAATGTTCCATCCTCAGTTTTCTCCTATCACAGCCATTAAACTCTATAACTGTTTTAAAGTCACCATTGATCTCATGGTGAAATCCCTGAGTGGTTTCCTTCCTCTCTGGGAACTGAGTTAGGAAGGACGCCTGTATCGTTGTAGTGACTGGATGTATTGATACACCATCCAAATTGTAATTAATAACTTCACCATGCTCAAAGGGATATTCTGTGTCTGCTTTTTTGTATTTTTACCCATCTACCAATAGGTGCCCTTCTTTGCGAGGCATTGGAAAACCTCCCTGGACTTTGTGGTTGAATCTGTGTTTGAAATTCACTGCTCGACTGAGGGACCTTACAGATAATTGTATGTGTAGGGTACAGAGATGAGGTAGTCATTCAAAAATCATGTTAAACACTATTATTGCACACAGAGTGAGTCAATGCAACGTATGTGACTTGTTAAGCGAATTCTTATTCTTGAACTTATTTAGGCTTGGCATAAAAAAGGGTTTGAATACTTATTGACTCAAGACATTTCAGCTTTTCATTTTTAATTAATTAGCCAGAATTTCTACAAACATAATTTCACTTTGACATTATAGGGTATTGTGTGTAGGCCAGAGACACAATATCTCTATTTAATCAATTTTAAATTCAGGCTGTAACACAACAAAAATGTAGAACAAGGCAAGGGGTGTGAATACTTTCTGAAGGGACCGTAGCTATTCCATTATATTGTACACCACTTTAACAGCCCTTCCTAACACTTAATATCACCATTTTAACCAAATGTTTGCCATAGTTTACCATTGTACTGTACACCATGAATGAGAGAGGGCTACTGTATGTATGTTGCAAATGAAACATTGAATAAATACTGTATAATTAGCCAGTAGGTAAAGACAGATATTCTATAATTACCGAAAAAGTTTATCGGCACACGACTAGAGAAGCCATGCAGCTTACCTGGGCTCTGGGATGCTTTTAGTCCAGATTTTCTTGCCTGGCACATGCCTTGATACAGCAGTAGAACTATACCTAGAGCAAGTGTGATTGTTTGCTGTGAGCGTCTCTCTCTCTCACCCTGCCATATGCATTTAGTCCTGTGAGTATCCACCTGCTGCCGCCACCACTGATACCAATTTAAGACATTGGCAAAGGCAGTGATATCAGTGGCATGGAACAAATTGGCCCCGCCACTTCTGTGTGTGCCTAGCTACCAGATGAATCCTGGAAATGTCTGTGAAATTCTGGTAAAAATAGTGCCAGCCTGCTCAGTGCCATCCCTGCCCACTCCGCATCTTACATGGAGTGGCACTGGTTGGGAGGGAGGACAGTCAGTATGGTGGGGGTTTGGGAACCTGTGAACAGTTGGGAGTAATTTATGTGGAATATTGGTCAGGGAGCATGTGTCACTTGTGTCCACATGGACTTGTGTCCACATGGACAGTGACCCTCTCTGTCTGTGTCAAAAACCTACAACTATAGCTTACGCCAACTAAGAATCAAGGCTCTCGAAGGAGACATTTTGATTCTGTTAAAACTCTGGTAACAGCTAAGCCCAATGCCCAATGCTTGAATTTGAGTCCAGGCATCCTCACTGGATCTTATACTTCAGCCAAATACATTCATACCCAATTTGTGTGTGTATAGAGAGGCACACTGTCATACAGTGGGGGAAAAAAGTATTTAGTCAGCCACCAATTGTGCAAGTTCTCCCACTTAAAAAGATGAGAGAGGCCTGTAATTTCATAGGTACACGTCAACTATGACAGACAAATTGAGAAAAAAAAATCCAGAAAATCACATTGTAGGATTTTTTATGAATTTATTTGCAAATTATGGTGGAAAATAAGTATTTGGTCACCTACAAACAAGCAAGATTTCTGGCTCTCACAGACCTGTAACTTCTTCTTTAAGAGGCTCCTCTGTCCTCCACTCGTTACCTGTATTAATGGCACCTGTTTGAACTTGTTATCAGTATAAAAGACACCTGTCCACAACCTCAAACAGTCACACTCCAAACTCCACTATGGCCAAGACCAAAGAGCTGTCAAAGGACACCAGAAACAAAATTGTAGACCTGCACCAGGCTGGGAAGACTGAATCTGAAATAGGTAAGCAGCTTGGTTTGAAGAAATCAACTGTGGGAGCAATTATTAGGAAATGGAAGACATATAAGACCACTGATAATCTCCCTCGATCTGGGGTCAAAATGATCACAAGAACGGTGAGCAAAAATCCCAGAACCACACGGGGGGACCTAGTGAATGACCTGCAGAGAGCTGGGACCAAAGTAACAAAGCCTACCATCAGTAACACACTACGCCGCCAGGGACTCAAATCCTGCAGTGCCAGACGTGTCCCCCTGCTTAAGCCAGTACATGTCCAGGCCCGTCTGAAGTTTGCTAGAGTGCATTTGGATGATCCAGAAGAGGATTGGGAGAATGTCATATGGTCAGATGAAACCAAAATAGAACTTTTTGGTAAAAACTCAACTCGTCGTGTTTGGAGGACAAAGAATGCTGAGTTGCATCCAAAGAACACCATACCTACTGTGAAGCATGGGGGTGGAAACATCATGCTTTGGGTCTGTTTTTCTGCAAAGGGACCAGGACGACTGATCCGTGTAAAGGAAAGAATGAATGGGGCCATGTATCGTGAGATTTTGAGTGAAAACCTCCTTCCATCAGCAAGGGCATTGAAGATGAAACGTGGCTGGGTCTTTCAGCATGACAATGATCTCAAACACACCGCCCGGGCAATGAAGGAGTGGCTTCGTAAGAAGCATTTCAAGGTCCTGGAGTGGCCTAGCCAGTCTCCAGATCTCAACCCCATAGAAAATCTTTGGAGGGAGTTGAAAGTCTGTGTTTCCCAGCGACAGCCCCAAAACATCACTGCTCTAGAGGAGATCTGCATGGAGGAATGGGCCAAAATACCAGCAACAGTGTGTGAAAACATTGTGAAGACTTACAGAAAACGTTTGACCTGTGTCATTGCCAACAAAGGGTATATAACAAAGTATTGAGAAACTTTTGTTATTGACCAAATACTTATTTTCCACCATAATTTGCAAATAAATTCATTCCAAATCCTACAATGTGATTTTCTGGAATTTTTTTTCTCATTTTGTCTGTCATAGTTGACGTGTACCTATGATGAAAATGACAGGCCTCTCTCATCTTTTTAAGTGGGAGAACTTGCACAATTGGTGGCTGACTAAATACTTTTTTTCCCCACTGTACATATCCTTTAAAAATATATATTTCCCTTTATTACTTTCCAACCCCACCACCCCTTCCCTAATTGGAGTAAACTAGTGAACAACAATGTTTAGGTCTCTACTTCCAGTTTATACATCCTATAAACATTTTATGGACACAGTCAATTTTACAATAATTCTATTTTGTTTGTTTTTACTCCTGAACTTCCTCTACCCTCAACCTCTCCGATCATTTTCATGATGTCCATCCGGTTTGCTTCTATATGCCATATATTTCTAACTCTTCTCTTTCACAAAAGCTCTCAACCTATAACCTATATACTTATTATGGACACAGTATGCTTTACATTAGTTATCTTGTTGTTATTATTTGTTGTTAGTTGTTATTAGTCCCATCCTTCAACTCCATTCAACACCTCCCATCTATCTCTTAACACCATCCATATTGGATTTCTATTTGCCATATATTTTTCAACTGTACTGTGATGTTTTACAAAAGTTCTGAACCCTTCTATTCTCATTGTTTCTACAGATTGTAAATTGAAAATAAACATTTTTGCTAAAAGTATTATTATATTATTGATCGATTGACTATGACTTTTCAGATCACCCAGTAGTGCTATCTGCAGGGTTAGCTCCAGGTAAATATTGCAATCCTTTAGCCATTCCTGGACCTGTGTCCAAAAACAAGCTACAAATGGACAGTACCAAAACAAATGATCTAATGATTTTGTCTCTTCGCAGCAAAATCTGCAGAGCTGGGAAGACTGTATCCCCCATATAAATAACATTATATAGGTAGCAAGAATTTTGTATAATAATTTAAATTGAACAATTATACGTTTTGAATCCGGCGTCGTTTTGCGTATCAGTTCATAAACACTATGCCATGGAATCGGTACGTCAAAAATCTCTTCCCAACTATTTTGCAATCTATATGGGACGGCTGTCAATCCTTTGGTCCTTAAAGGAAACTGGTATACTTTTTTATTTATCACAATTATCTTTAACCAATTATGTTCTTTAATGCAGGGCCGACAGACAAGTTCCTTACTTTTTCCCCCTTCCACTTTCCTCTTCCATTTTTGCGGTAATGCTGCAATTATTTGGTTGTAATTTTGGGTAGAGCAGACATTTCCATATGTTTTTGTTAGCTGCATGTGCAACATAACTCCACCAGTCCTACCTATGATATAATTTACGAAGATTATCCTTTTTTTAAATTTTATTTTTCAAAAAGTAATGTTTTTTTAATCAATTAGTATATTTGAGTTTAACCACAATATTTGTTGCATTATTTGTTCTGGAGTTTCTGGAGGATTATATTGAAATTGCAACCAACTTTCTATGGCTTGTTTTAGAAATAGTGATATTTGGGAGATTATTTCCTTTTCAAATAACTGAAAGTGAGAGGTTGTAATCTGAATAAAGGGAAAAAGGCCATTCTTGAACATCGGGTAAGACAATCTTACTAATTTGCTAGAGAACCAGTTCGGATTTAAGTATAACTTTTGTATGACTGAAGCTTTTAGTGATAGGTCTAATGCTTTAATATTTAATAATTTCTGTCCTCCGAACTCATATTCATTATATAAATAGGCCCGTTTAATTTTGTCTGGCTTGCCGTTCCAAATAAAATGGAATATTTTTTTCTCATATAATTTCAAAAACTGTTCGCTAGGTGTAGGCAACACCCTAAGCAAATAGGTAAACTGGGATAATACTAAAGAGTTAATCAGGGTGATTTTTCCACAAATTGACAGGTATTTACCTTTCCATGGTAGCAAGATCTTATCAATTTTTGCTAACTTTCTATTAAAATGTATTGGAGTGAGATCATTTATTTCATATGGGATATGTATTCCGAGTATATCCACATCACCATCAGACCATTTTATTGGTAAACTACATGGTAATGTAAATTTTTTATTTTTTAGTGATCCAATATGTAATATAGTACTTTTTATCATATCTCATCTTTTATATGTGTGAATGATATTGAAATATTACATTCAACCTTATACACTGAAAGCCAGAGATGAGGGGAGATTTCAGAGCCTTTCAAGCCAACGATTATATTTTAAGGCCAAAAAGACTCACAGGGCTGCGGTACTAGTTGCCCTGGTGATGGGGCTGGGCGGCGCTGTCCCAGCAGCAGTAAGGGCTCCAGACAGCGAGCAAACTCACACCTATAGTCTGTGTTAATCTGAGGGGAGAGAGAGATCATCTAGGTCAGAGTTTGGCTAGCACCTTTCTTTGAGGGAAGAGACAAGACATTTACTGTAGGTCTAGTATACTGTATACAATACTAATTCTACATGACAATGTTGAGTAAAATCACATTGTTTTGTAAGGTCAGAATAGACGGGTCACACTCTCTTTGCTGCTTTGCACTGGTCGCATTCGATGAGGGAGCTTCACAATCCTCCTCAGCCTCTCAGTTTCTGTGGAAGAGAGAGACGCCATGCGTGATGCAAACCTCTGGTGAATTTATCCATTCTATCTTTGATTCTCCCCAGAATATGAAGTGCCAGTACTCACATATCCCATGTCCAGACACTCAAACTTGTTGGCTGAGCTGAGGAAGGCTGAGCAGGTGACCAGGTGAACCTTTGAGAGGGCATCAGTGAAGGTCAGAGGTCAACCACACTGGAGGGCTGGTGAATAATTAACTGTTCATGTAATAACTAACAATATATACCACTGTCAATTTTATTTATGGGTATCATTTAGCTCCATATGAGTTTGGCAATTAGTTATACACTGTTAATTCCAGACCTGGGGATATGGAGATATGAGTTAGGGGTGTCTGATGACCTAACCTGCAATGTTGGCAGGAGGACTGCAAGGTGTGATATCTGCGCTCCTTTAGCGCCTTCTCCTTTTCTTCATGTTGGCTGCAAACACACACAACATTACCACTTCACAACTATCCCCTCGATGCAGAGGATTAAAGAAATACCCACACAACAACACAGAAACTCATGCTCCATATATCCAGGTCCTTATCTATAGTCTGCTTCCCATTACAAACACATACACACAGACAGACACAGAGACAGAAACACACAGCCTGCCATAAATAGCCTTTAACTCCCTTCCGGGAATACAGACAGTCACTTGTCTGCTTCCAGGCAGCGGTGCAAGAAAGATGGAGGACTAAGGGCACAAAAATCTAATTAAAGATCTCTACACAATGCAACCTGATACACTTCCTCCCTCACACACTCCAGAGTAAGTAATGCTGCAGTCCAGTGGCCCCAAGGCTGTAGCTTCCTGCTCCACTAGCTGTGATGGAATGCTACCAGAGAGTAAATATCAATACCTCAGAGGTTATCTACACATTTTCATGGATTATATGTAACCATGAACTGCAGCCGTGGACATGGAATGATGAGTATTGTTTTGAAGCAGTCCTCACTCTGTTTGCCTTGCCATTCTTGTTTTAATTGTGTACTGTAAAGTCTCTCTCATGGGGCCAAATGGAAACTAGCCTACACCAGGGTTCTGGCATAAAATGGCTGCAACACATTCTTAGTGGTAAATTAGGTTTGTTAACCCTGTACAATGTAAGGCACTTTGAGACCTTGGGGAAATTGCTAACTTCAATCTATGCCTAAAATATTGCCTATCCATTGTCTTTATGGCATCAAAGCAACAGTTTCATAGTAAAGTAATGCAGTACCTGTGAGCCACTAGCAACATAATTTTCTTCCTCTCTTTCCTGACAGATGAGAGCAGAGAAACAGTTCATCACAAGGACCAGTACAAATTAAAATGTATGCACTTACTACTGTAAATTGCTCTGGATTAGTGTCTGCTAAATGACTCAAATGTAAAATGGCTGTGGGCTAAGAAGTCATCCACTAGTAGTAGGCCTACCGTGAAAAAGACTGTGGTCCTTGTTTGCCACCCTCTATTTGAGCAAATAACTGTCTGGGGATTTAACTTCTAGTGAGTTTTCTCTAAAATGTAATTTTGTGGTACACATTGTTTTGTAATTGTACCAGTATGTGTTTGGTTTAACTCCATTCATAGAGTTTTTGGTGAGTGCAGAAGACCTTTAAATCTTTTCACAAAAAGAGCAAGAGAGACACCCAGTGGTGAGGCACCATCATCACATATTCCAATTTGGAACTATATTTATTTTCTTGCACTTAGATAGTTAAATTTCACAATGTTTATTTAATACATTTGTATCTCAATAACAACATTATCAATACCATCTGTTTTTTCCAGGTGACCTGAAAAGAGTCCTTTAGTGATGTCTTACCTGTATACTGTTGAAGAGGTTGCAGATTGCGTTCTCCTCTTCCTCCATATTGGAGCACACCTCCCCTATCATGGCCCTCAGCATGATAATAGCTTCACGGGCCTGCAGCTCCTTCACTGCCTACAGAGGAAGCAAGGCTCACACATGGACATGGTAGATATTCTCATTCACCTAGAACTAACCTGTAGCTAAACCAAACACACATGATCATATGCTTTATCTCAAACCCAAGACCCAGCCTGTAGCTTTTCAAAATCAACAACATAAGGATCCTATACTATGGCATGTAAAATACAGCATGGAAACAATTCAGAGTTGCTGAAGGAGATTCATATTTTAACATACTACATAGGCCATGGAGTTGTGAGGACTATACAGATAAAACAGGGATTTCCAGAGGGGGTGACTGCGAACCATCGATGTTATACCACACAATGTATCTCGAGAATAAAAGTAAATCCACTCACCAGCACTGCCTGGTCTAGAATCTCACAGCCTTCCCAGCTAGAACATTTGGTTCCTTGGAAGTTGTGGGAATGTACGTTTTTGGTTTCCCATTGGTTCTGGGAACGAAGCCATACATTTCCTGACCGGTAAAACTGAACATTTTTTAAACGTTCTAAGAACGGAAGTGAACATTTTGCCTGTTCTATTCTTAGGTTGCATGGAAGTTCTGAGAACGTTTTACTCTGGTTCCTTCCGGAAGGTTTAATTTACTCTGGTTCCTTCTGGGAGGTTTAATTAACGCTCTGAGAATGGAAATTATAGGTTATTTTGAGTTTTTTTAATAATGTCCTCAAAAATGTCACTGAATGTTTCAATAAGACTTTAATAACACTGCTATCTTATTTGTTTTACTCCAAGCACAGATAGGACACATGTAAATTCATTTCCTTAGGCATTAATCAGGCAAACACATTTATTTTTTATTGCGACACCGCATCAGTGAGATTCAAACCTATAATCTTCTATTCTCTATCCATGGAATTAGTCCATTGCGCCCCCAGGATGGAGCTAGCATGCCATGTTGTTTTTTTTACGCTTACAAAGCTGTTCATTTTTGTCAATTTAAACAGACCCCATTTCAAAGGAAACAAGCACTCCTTAACGTCAGGTGTGGCCAATTAGTGGGCGTGGCCAACACACCTGAACACACTGAACAAGATAGAGGATAGAGAGAGTTTTGTTGATGCTGAGAACGGAATGTATGTGTTTTCAAATAACATTCTTAGAACGTTCTCTGAATGTTACTAAAGTTTTCTTGTGGCTTTATGAAAAGTTTCCTTAACATTCTCAGAACAATTTGAGAACATGACTTTGAATACAACCATGAGGAAACCTGTAGAAAAACGTTATGCTGAAGTACTGAAAATCCCACAGAAGAACTGAAGTACTGAAATTCCCACAGAAGAACATTGTTTCTTAACGTTCTTGGAACAAATGAGGAAACCTATTGGAAACATTATGCTGAATTACTGAAATTCCCACAGAAGAACGTTGTTTCTTAATGTTCTCTGAACTATTTGAGAACATTCCCAATGCCAAACCAATTGGAGAAAGTTCCTAGAACATTACCAAAATTTAAATTAAATCTAACCATGTTTGAACTTTTAGGAAACGTTCTGTCAAAGTAATGGAACACCAAGAAAATACTGTAATGTTTCTTAAATGTGCTGAGAAAGTTCCAAAGCCAAGCAACTATCCTGCACCATTCCCAGAATGTTATGGGAAGGTTGCATGCAAAACAACCATAGGACAACCACGCTCTCACCAAGCTCTAAGAAACATATGGTTCTCAGAACGTTATGTGCTAGCTGGGTTGCAATTATTCTGTCGCAATGTCAATGCAGTGTGTCAGGCTCTCCCTGTTGAATTTCAAATCGAATCAAATGTTATTTGTTACATGCTTCGTAAATAACGTGTAGACTAACAGTGAAATGCTTACTTTCGGCCCCTCTCAACAATGCAGAGAGAAAGAAGATAGAGAAATAATAGACAAGTAAAACACATAATAATAAAAGTAATAATAAATACACAATGAGTAAAGATAACTTGGCTATACATGGTTACCAGTACCAAATCGATGTGCAATAATTTGGCAGAAACATAAATTAGATTTACTCACAGTGTTCCTGTGTGAATCTGGTGTTGCTGTAGTAGGAGCTTCACTCCTTCACACTTGTCTGAAACACTTGATGCAGATAATAGACTTATTCTCTGTGGAGAACATGATGTAGGGCTCCTTATGGAGAGCTGTGGAGACAAACACCAAGTTAAACCATCACTATCACATCACTGTTCCTTTAATACATATTTCAATGCAATGAATAGTATTCGAAAAATATTCAATAAATAAATAATTGTTCTTATGCAAGGGATAATCAAAGAAGGGCTATGTGTTCTCTGGAAAATAATGCACAACGTGGAATGTGTGTTCCACGACACGTTACCAGAGTCTACCTAACCTTCCACAGTTGCATTATTTTCCAGAGAATGCATAGAGCCCTGAGTTGATTATCCCTTTTATACCATGGCTATACATTAACATATTTGCTGCTAGAAATGTATTCATTTGCCAGTAGAAATGTGACAACACCCTGAAGTAGCTAGCAAGTTTACTAGCTAGCTAAGCTACAGTAGTTGCCTTGGTAACCAACCAATTTATACGGGTGTAATAACAGTGGTGGTTGATGCTTTTTGCCTACACGGAAATTACGATATGAAACGTTGATTTGGAAACCTTCTGACCAACTACTGGGTCAGGCGGCGCCCCTCTGTCTATTTCATTTGTCGTAGTAAATATAAAATGTTATAGATTGGTCTGACTAAAATGTTGTGCAAAGACCCGTTAGGAGCTTGTTTTCAATAAATGTTCTGTGTCATGTGTCTGATACTAACAGTGTGTTAGTTGTCTGTGCATAACATTTTAGTAGCGAACAAAGAACAGAGCACCAGATGGCCTAATCTTACAGGAGTACGATAACTGGACAACACCCACGCCCAAGGCCACAATCACCAGATCCTCCTCACGAGTTCCTGGACACACACAAAACATTTCATTTGCACGCACACTCATTCTCCACTTCCTTCTACTGGTCGGGTGCCAAGGGCAGAGGACTCTGCCGTGCACCAATGGGGCTTCTACTCTGGACAGAGCAGACCCGCCTCCTACGCCTCGGGAACCAATCAAGGGACTAGAAGAAGGACCCCTTCCTTTATGTTACATTGTATAAAGTAATGCTGCAAACTCTGTTTTAGACATCCTTCTCAACTGTCTCCATAAGAGGCAATTGATTGGGTCCATGCATGTTAATTAGCAGGATCCCATGCATGTAGCCTAACAGTACAAGATATCTCTGGGTTTAATAAACTGCCTTTTGCTTAAGCAAATTCCTCTCTGTCTAGCGTCGTTGGTTTGTACTCCCTCTCCTAATTATGTGTTCACCAACACATATCACATGATTTCTGATAATAGTTCTCGATTGTATCGACTGATTGGCACCCCATACTATAGCAATCAGTCGATATAATCGAGAACTATCATCAGAAATCACACGATATGAATCAGACAGTGGGGCACCGCCTGACACACTAAATTGACAATTAATGACACAATAACGCCAGATAACATTTCCAGCATGGCCGACAACCAGACCTCCGTTGCCCGCCATAGGAAGCAAAATGGTCATTAAGAAATAATAAATGAGCATTGCGTTTGCAGCTCATAAATTAATACAATAATTTAAAACGTAGTTATAAACGTCACCTCTGTCAGATGCTCTGAACGAGCTTCAGGCATAGGCTACATGAAACATTAACTGCTTTTTTCACTCATGCTTATTCACTTCATTTTACAGGGATGCCAAGGATTTCAAGCCAGGGATGCGCTGCAATCCAAACCCAAAACCCAGAAACTGTACATAACTGGTGTGATTGGGATGGCGTGCAGGCAGGAGCATCTGCTGAAGTTCCTTAACCTGAAGAGAGGAAAGAAGTATGTGGATGGATGCATGAGGGTGGATGGATGCTTCAGATGTATAGCTGATGCATTTTAGTTATATACAGTGCATTCGGAAAGTATTCAGACACTTTCCCTTTTTCCACATTTTGTTACATTGCAGCCTTATTCTAAAATGGATGAAATTGTTGTTGTTTTCCTCATCAATCTACAGACAAAACTCCATAATGACAAAGCAAAAACTGGTTTTTCGAATTTTTTGCGAATTGATTCAAAATAAAACGCATAAATGGCTTATTTACAGAAGTATTCAGACCCTTTGCTATGAGACTCGAAATTGAGCTCAGGTGCATCCTGTTTCCATTTATCATCCTTGAGATGTTTCTACAACTTGATTGGAGTGCACCTGTGGTAAATTCAATTGATTGGACATGATTTGGAAAGGCACACACCTGTCTATATAAGGTCCCAGAGTTGACAGTGTATGTCAGAGCAAAAACCAAGCCATGAGGTCGAAGGAATTGTCCATAGAGCTCCATGATAGGATTGTGTCGAGACGCAGATCTGGGGAAGTGCACCAAAAAATGTCTGCAGCATTGAAGGTCCCCAAGAACACAGTGGCCTCCATCATTCTTAAATGGAAGAAGTTTGGAACAACCAAGACTCTTCCTAGAGCTGGCCGCCCAGCCAAACTGAGCAATCGGGGGAGAAGGGCCTTGGTCAGGGACGTGACCAAGAACGTGATTGTCACTCTGACAGAGCTCCAGAGTTCCTCTGTTGAGATGGGAGACACTCCCAGAAGGACAACCATCTCTGCAGCACTCCACCTATCAGGCCTTTATGGTAGAGTGGCCAGACGGAAGCCACTCCTCAGTAAAAGGCACATGACAGCCCGCTTGGAGTTTGCCAAAAAGCACCTAAAGGACTCATATCATGAGAAACAAGATTCTCTGGTCTGATGAAACCAAGATTGAACTATTTGGCATGAATGCCAAGCGTCACGTCTGGAGGAAACTTGGCACCATCTCTACGGTGAAGCATGGTGGTGGCAGCATCATGCTATGGGGATGTTTTTCAGCGGCAGGGACTGGGAGACTAGTCAGGATCGAGGGAAAGATGAACGGAGCAAAGTACAGAGAGATCCTTGATGAAAACCTGCTCCAGAGCACTCAGGACCTCAGACTGAGGCAAAGGTTAACCTTCCAACAGGACAATGACCCTGAGCACACAGCCAAGACAACGCAGGAATGGCTTCGGGACAAGTCTCTGGATGTCCTTGAGTGGCCCAGCAAGAGCCCGTCCTGGAACCCGATCTAACATCTCTGGAGAGACCTGAAAATAGCTGTGCAACCTGGCAGAGCTTTAGAGGATCTGCAGATAAGAATGGGAGAAACTCCCCAAATACAGCTGTGCCAAGCTTGTAGCGTCATACCCAAGAAGACTCGATGATGTAATCGCTGCCAAAGATGTTTCAACAAAGTACTGTGTAAAGGGTCTGAAGACTTATGTACAGTTGAAGTCGGAAGTTTACATACACCTTAGCCAAATACATTTAAACTCAGTTTTTCACAATTCCTGATATTTAATCCTAGTTTAAATTCCCTGTTTTGGGTCAGTTAGGATCAACAATTTATTTTAAGAATGTGAAATGTCAGAATAATAGTAGAGAGAATTATTTATTTCAGCTTTTATTTCTTTCATCACATTCCCAGTGGGTCAGAAGTTGACATACACTCAAATAGTATTTGTTAGCATTGCCTTTAAATTGTTTAACTTGGGTCAAACGTTTCGGGTAGCATTCAACAAGCTTCCCACAATAAGTTGGATGAGTTTTGGCCCATTCCTCCTGACAGAGCTGGTGTAACTGAATCAGGTTTGTAGGCCTACTTGCTTGCACACGCTTTTTTAGTTCTGCCCACATATTTTATATAGGATTGAGGTCAGGGCTTTGTGATGGCCACTCCAATACCTTGACTTTGTTGTCCTTAAGCCATATTGCCACAACTTTGGAAGTATGATTGGGGTCATTGTCCATTTGGAAGACCCATTTGCGACCAAGCTTTAACTTCCTGACTGATGTCTTGAGATGTTGCTTCAATATATCCACATAATTTGGTGGATGGTGTTCTTCGGCTTGCAAGCCTACCCCCTTTTTCCTTCAAACATAACGATGATCATTATGGCCAAACAGTTCTATTTTTTATTCATCAGACCAGAGGACATTTCTCCAAAAAGAAGATATTTGTCCCCATGTGCAGTTGCAAACAGTAGTCTGGCTTTTTTTTATGGCGGTTTTGGAGCAGTGGCTTCTTCCTTGCTGAGCGGCCTTTCAGGTTATGTCGATATAGGACACGATTTACTGTGGATATAGATACTTTTGTACCTGTTTCCTCCAGCATCTTCACAAGGTTCTTTGCTGTTGTTCTGGGATTGATTTGCACTTTTCGCACCAAAGTACGTTCATCTCTAGGAGACAGAACGCATCTCCTTCCTGAGCGGTATGGCGGCTGCGTGGTCCCATGGTATTTATACTTGCGTACTATTGTTTGTACAGGTGAACGTGGTGCCTTCAGGCGTTTGGAAATTGCTCCCAAGGATGGACCAGACTTGTGGAGGTCTACAATTTTTTTTCTGAGGTCTTGGCTGATTTCTTTTGATTTTCCCATTATGTCAAGCAAAGAGGCACTGAGTTTGAAGGTAGGCCTTGAAATACATCCACAGGTACACCTCTAATTGACTCAAATTATGTAAATTAGCCTATCAGAAGCTTCTAAAGCCATGACATCATTTCCCTGAATTTTCCAAAGCTGTTTAAAGGCACAGTCAACTTAGTGTATGTAAACTTCGGACCCACTGGAATTGTGATACAGTGAATTATAAGTGAAATAATCTGTCTGTAAACAATTGTTGGAAAAATTACTTGTGTCATGCAAGAAATGTGTGGATTGGTTGAAAAACGTATTTTAATGACTCCAATCTAAGTGTATGTAAACTTCCGACTTCAACTGTAAATGTGATATTTCAGTTGTTTATTTTTTATACATTTGCAAAAATTTATAAAAACCTGTTTTTGCTTTGTCATTATGGGGTATTGTGTGTAGATTGATGAGGAAAAAAAACAATTCAATCAATTTTAAAATAAGGCTGTAACGTAACAAAATGTAGAACAAGTCAAGGGGTCTGAATACTTTCCGAATGCACTGTAGGCTACTGCACATTACACACGACAGAAAAAACATAAAGCCCATATATGTAGCTAGCTATATACTCTCTTGGGTAAGTCAATTAAACTAGCTCCAGTAGGCTAATCTTTTTGAGTGTGAACTGTATTATTGTTCTGTATTGTATTATGCTGTATATACAGTACTAGTCAAAGGTTTGGACACACCTACTCATTGAAGGGTTTTTCTTTATTTGTACTATTTTCTACATTGTAGAATAATAGTGAAGACATCAAAAGTATGAAATAACACATATGGAATCATGTAGTAACCAAAGAAGTGTTAAACAAATCAAATAGCCACCCTTTGCCTTGATGACAGCTTTGCACACTCTTGGCATTCTCTCAACCAGCTTCATGAGGTATTCACCTGGAATGCATTTCAATTAACAGGTGTGCCTTCTTAAAAGTTAATTTGTGGAATTCCTTTCCTTCGTAACGCGTTTGAGCCAATCATTTGTGTTGTGACAAGGTAGGGGGGGGGGTATACAGAAGATAGCCCTATTTGGTAAAAGACCATATCCATATTATGGCAAGAACAGCTCAAATAAGCAAAGAGAAACGACAGTCCATCATTACTTTAAGACATGACGGACAGTCAATACGGAACATTTCAATAACTTTTAACGTTTCTTCAAGTGCAGACGCAAAAACCATCAAGCGCTATGATGAAACTGGCTCTCATGAGGACCGCCACAGGAAAGAAAGACCCAGATTTACCTCTGCTGCAGAGGATAAGTTCATTAGAGTTAACTGCACCTCAGATTGCAGCCCAAATAAATGCTCACGTAACAGACACATCTCAACATCAACTGTTCAGAGGAGACTGCGTGAATCAGGCCTTCATGGTCGAATTGCTGCAAAGAAACCATTACTAAAGGACACCAATAAGAAGAAGAGACTTGCTTGGGCCAAGAAACACGAACAATGGACATTAGACCGGTGGAAATCTGTCATTTGGTCTGATGAGTCCAAATTTGAGATTTTTGGTTCCAACCGCCGTGTCTAGGTGGATGGATGATTTCTGCATGTGTGGTTCCCACCGTGAAGCATGGAGGAGGAGGTGTGATGGTGTGGGGGTTCTTTGCTGGTGACACTGACAGTGATTTATTTAGAATTCAAGGCACACTTAACCCGCATGGCTACCACAGCATTCTGCAGCGATACGCCATCCCATCTGGGTTGCGCTTATCATTTGTTTTTCAACAGGACAATGCCCCAGCACACCTCCAGGCTGTGTAAGGGCTATTTGACCAAGAAGGATAGTGATGGAGTACTGCATCAGATGACCTGGCCTCCACAATCACCCGACCTCAACCCAATTGAGATGGTTGGGATGAGTTGGACCGAAGAAGAGTGAAGTAAAAGCAGCCAACAAGTGCTCAGCATATGTGGGAACTCCTTCAAGACTGTTGGAAAAGCATTCCAGGTGAAGCTGTTTGAGAGAATGCCAAGAGTGTGCAAAGCTGTCATCGAGGCAAAGGGTGGCTACTTTGAAGAATCTAACATCTAAAATAGATTTTGATTTGATTAGCACTTTTTTGGTTACTAGATGTGTTATTTCATAGTTTTGATATCTTCACTGTTATTATACAATGTAGAAAATAGTAAAAATAAAGAAAAACCCTTGAATGAGTAGGTGTGTCCAAACTTTTGACTGGTACTGTATAAATATATATTGTTTTTTATTGGTCGGGTTTCAACCCCTGGTATCATATAAACACACATATGACATGGAAGAATGCATAGAATTGCAGGAAATTAGCTTAAAACAGCAAAACATATCTCTGCCCCATGCAAAACGTGTAGAATTGCAGGAAATTAGCTTTAAAACTGCAAAATGTTCTCTCTGCCAACAAGAGGGGTGTAAACAGTTTGGGGTCGCATGGGTTGCACGGTGGGGGTTTGTCGATGATAAATTACATTATCCATCCGGACCTTTCCCACCTAGGAAATGTGTGTGACCGGACCGTCTCAAATAGTACTTGAGTACCCTGTTATATAGTGCATTCGAAAAGTATTCAGACCCCTTGACTTTATCCACATTTTGTTACATTACAGCCTTATTCTCAAATGGATTAAATAGTTTTTTCCCCCTCATCAATCTACACACAATAACCCATAATGACAAAGCAAAAACAGGTTTTTAGATTTTTTTGCTAATTTATTACAAATACAAAATGTAAATATTACATTTACATAAGTATTCAGACCCTTTACTCAGTACTTTGTTGAAGCACCTTTAGCAGCGATTACAGCATTGAGTCTTCTTGGGTATGACGCTACAAGCTTGGCACACCTGTATTTGGGGAGTTTCTCCCAACCTTCTCTACAGATCCTCTCAAGCCCTGTCAGGTTGGATGGGGAGCGTTGCTGCACAGCTATTTTCAGGTCTCTCCAGAGATATTCGATCGGGTTCAAGTCTCTGGCTGGGCCACTCAAGGACTTTCAGAGACTTTTCCCGAAGCCACTCCTGCGTTATCTTGGCTGTGTGCTTAGGGTCGTTGTCCTGTTGGAAGGTGACCCTTCGCCCCAGTCTGATCCTGAGCGCTCTGGAGCAGGTTTTCATCAAGAATCTCTCTGTACTTTGCTCCGTTCATCTTTGCCTCGATCCTGACTAGTCTCCCAGTCCCTGCCACTGAAAAACATCCCCAAAGCATTATGCTGCCACCACCATGCTACACCGTAGGGATGGTGCCAGGTTTCTTCCAGACGTGACGCTTGGTATTCAGGCCAAAGAGTTCAATTTTGGTTTCATCAGACCAGAGAATCTTGTTCTCTTGGTCTGAGCATCTTTTTTTCCTTTCGGGTTGTGGGATTTTGTTCGTGTGTGTGCGTGTTGTACCACAGACGTCACGGTTTCGTTGTTTGTTTTGCTCGTGTGAGCATTTAATAAATATACTATGTTCACTCAACACGCTGCGCTTTGGTCTCCTCCTTCACACGATCGTGACAGAAAATCCCACCAAGACCAGACCAAGCAGCGTGTACAGGAGCTGAAGGGCGATAATTGGAAACAGAGGAGCGAGAAGTGGGCGAGAATGATGGAGGCCTGGTCCACGGGGGGGAGAGACCCCCAGGAAATTTTTAGGGGGGGGCTCACGACGTCGGGGCAGCAGGTGTACGGGTTGGAGGAGTGCAGGAGGTTGGCAGATAGGGCCGCCAGGTTAAGGGGGCCACTGGTCACGAAGGGGAAGGAAGGTGTAGAGGCACGGCCAAGGGTACTGGGGTGTGTTACCAGTCCGGTCCGGCCCGTTCCTGATCCCCGTGTAGGGCCAGGGGTGTGTGTCCTCAGTGCGGTCCTGTCTGTTCCTGTTCCTCGCATGGAGCCTGTGGTGCGCGTCCCCAGCCCAGCCCGGCCTGTTCCGGCCACTCGCACCAAGGATACGGTGCGCGTCGCCAGCCCGACCCGGCCTGTTCCGGCCACTCGCACCAGGGATACGGTGCGCGTCGCCAGCCCGACCCGGCCTGTTCCGGCCACTCGCACCAAGGATACGGTGCGCGTCGCCAGCCCGACCCGGCCTGTTCCGGCCACTCGCACCAGGGATACGGTGCGCGTCGCCAGCCCGACCCGGCCTGTTCCGGCCACTCGCACCAGGGATACGGTGCGCGTCGCCAGCCCGACCCGGCCTGTTCCGGTCACTCGCACCAGGGATACGGTGCGCGTCGCCAGCCCGACCCGGCCTGTTCCGGCCACTCGCACCAGGGATACGGTGCGCGTCGCCAGCCCGACCCGGCCTGTTCCGGCCACTCGCACCAGGGATACGGTGCGCGTCGCCAGCCCGACCCGGCCTGTTCCGGCCACTCGCACCAGGGATACGGTGCGCGTCGCCAGCCCAGTCCGGCCCATCCAAGCTTCCCGCACCAAGTCTGTGGTGCGTCTCGTCAGCCCTGTCCGGCTCGTCCCTGCTCTCCGCACCAAGTCAGTGGTGTGCGTCGCCAGCCCATTCCGGTCCATTCCTGCTCCACGCACCAAGCCTGGGGCGCGTGTCGTCAGTCCGGCTCCGGCCAGCGGGGCTAGACAGGACCAGGAGTACTTTGGGGGGTTGGAGAGGAAGTGGGGATCAGGCCCGGAGCCGGAGCCGCCGCCGAGGAAGAATGCCCACCCAGCCCTCCCCTGTTTTGCTCGTATTTAGGCGCGGTCACAGTCCGCGCCTTTAGGGGGGGGTACTGTCACACCCTGGTTCGGGGACTCATTATGTTGAACCAGGGTGTGTTCATTCTATGTTTTCGGTTTCTCTGGTGGGTGTTCTAGGTGGTTTATTTTCTATGTTTGCCGGTGTGACTCCCAATCAGAGGCAAACGAGTGTCAGCTGTCGGCTGTTTGTCTCTGATTGGGAGCCATATTTAATCTATCTGTTTTTCCTTTCGGGTTGTGGGATTTTGTTCGTGTGTGTGCGTGTTGTACCACAGACGTCACGGTTTCGTTGTTTGTTTTGCTCGTGTGAGCATTTAATAAATATACTATGTTCACTCAACACGCTGCGCTTTGGTCTTCCTCCTTCACACGATCGTGACAAGGTGCCTTTTGGCAAACTCCAAGTGGGCTGTCATGTGCCTTTTACTGAGGAGTGGCTTCCGTCTGGCCACTTTACCATAAAGGCCTAATTGGTGGAGTGCTGCAGAGATGGTTGGCCTTCTGGAAGGTTCTCCCATCTCCACAGAAGAACTCTGGAGCACTGTCAGAGTGACCATCAGGTTCTTGGTCACCTCCCTGACCAAGGCCCTTCTCCCCCGATTGCTCAGTTTGGCTGGGTGGCCAGCTCTAGGAAGAGTCTTGGTGGTTCCAAACTTCTTCTATTTAAGAATGATGGAAGCCACTTCGTTCTTGGGGACCTTCAATGCTGCAGAAATGTTTTTGTACCCAATCAAGTTGTAGAAACAACTCACGGATGATCAATGGAAACAGGATGCACCTGAGGTCATTTTTGAGTCTCATAGCAAAGGGTCTGAATACTTACAGTACCAGTCAAAGGTTTGGACACAGCTACTCATTTAAGGGTTTTTCTTTATTTGTACTATTTTCTACATTGTAGAATAATAGTGAAGACATCAAAACTATTAAATAAAACATATGGAATCATGTAGTAACCAAAAAAGTGTTAAACAAATCAAAATATATTTTGAAATTCCACAAATTAACTTTTAAGAAGGCACACCTGTTAATTTAAATGCATTCCAGGTGACTACCTCATGAAGCTGGTTGAGAGAATGCCAAGAGTGTGCAAAGCTGTCATCAAGGCAAAGGGTGGCTATTTGAAGAATCTCAAATATAAAATATATTTTGATTTGTTTAACACTTTTTTGGTTACTACATGATTCCATATGTGTTATTTCATAGTTTTGATGTTTTCACTATTATTCTATAATGTAAAAATAAAGAAAAACCCTTGAATCAGTAGGTGTCCAAACTTTTGACTGGTACTGTATGTAAATCATGTATTTATGTTTTCTATTTTTAATACATTTGCAAAAATTTCTAAAAACCTGTTTTCGCTTTGTCATTATGGGGTCTTTTGTAATAAAGAACCATATAACTTTGTCTTTGTGTAATTACAGAAAGCTTTGGCCAAAAATGTCATTCCAAAGAGCGATTCAGTTCATAATAAGAGCTTGCGATGCAGTATGCTGATGACGAGTTCTCTTTTTTTGACAAGTGCTTTGTATTTTTTGTTAATGAGCGTTATACATGCAAAGCAAAAAGAAAATTAGAGAAAGACAGTTTATTTATGCACATGGAATGATCTTTTTTTACAGAGTGTGAACACACTTATTTGTCTTCCCTCAATGTTCTTGTTGTCTGTATTTTATATTTGTCTCTGACTTGACTCTGTGTTGTTATTGGAGTGTGTGGTGTGTTCTGTTCTGTGTGTCATAACATAATGTATTGGTCATGTTAAAGGTGACACAAAAGCTACTTAAAAATGTTTTTCACACAAAGTAAAACCCTCCTGATAAAAAAATGAAGAAAATAATCGAGTAGTAACAGAGATGTTGCTCTTGGTCGTGTGGTTGGCTGTGATGATTTAATTGATGAACACATTTTTTTATTTTATCCATTTCAGAATAAGGCTGTAACGTAACAAAATGTGGAAAAGGTCAAGGGGTCTGAATATTTTCTGAATGCACTGTAGACTATGCTGCAGCAAATGTAGGCCTACCTGTCACAAGAAAAATAGTTACCATGATGAGATGATAGATCTACATGCATTGTGAACTGCGCTCCAATCTGAGATGGGCTGTCTGTCCCCACCCTGAGCGTTGATGATTCATCATGCAGAGGCTGTAGAGAAGCCATATTTAGACATCACATATAATTTAACAATTCCATTTCACGCCATGCTTTTCATATAAATTCTTTATTATAATTTACCGGTATCTCACAGTTATTTATCCCGGGAAAAGGGAGTGGTTTTGGGCGGTAAATCTCGGTAACCGGGTTCCCGCCATTCAACCCTAATTCCAGCTCCACTGCAGACATGTGGAGTAGCTCCCTCAACACCTTCCAGGCCTCAACATCTGCTGCCTTCCTTTTTTTTATGCTGTTGGAGGAGGTGCATCACTGCAGCTGGGCACAACTTCTGCTGCAGAGGGAACCGGCTGTGTTCTCCCAGTACTCCCTAGAGAGTAGTGACAATTGTTACTGAGTGGACTATCCAGTTTAAATTAAGATGAACTGAACTGAACAGAGCAACTTTCTCACCGATCCAAATTGATGGCAGGGGTGTAAGCTCTATCACGCCTCTAGTCAGGTCTCTGTAAACCAGCGTGGCTCTTTTTCTTCTAAAAGATGGCATCTGTAGAGAAAAATAAGACAATGACAACTAAGTTTGATTTATTCTAAATGAAGATACTGTATAATATTAATTACATTTAAATAATCTGATACATAGGACACATAATGATCTTTCATAATGCATGACTAGTGGAGTTACTTTGCTTACACTCAATTATTTTCTTATAGGGAATCTAAAGACGGTTATTGGTAGGAAGTTGTGCTTCGCATGGACATAAGTAGTCTGAAATGGTTCCAGAGACAGGTGATGACACATCTTTAGGCTTCAACAAGGAAGGGACAGGAATATATTGGGCATCTTGGCTAATGGATGATTATTGTTAGAGTTATAATGTACTATCTAATACTTGCTTAGTCCAGTGGTTCTCAACCTTTTTTAGTCATTGTAGCCCCAATCACATCTTGCTCTGCCAATAATGCCCCCAAAGCACCCCCTCATATGTATTTTAAATATAGACATATTATCATATGAAATGAGTCTTTCTAAGTACCCACTTTGGATATTGGTTCCTGGTTGGGAACCACTGGCCTAGTCTATCTACATAAGCCACATCAAGTCATGGTTTTGTCTATCTGTTCCTTTCATCCCAATTGTCATCTTATTTGATTGGTGTAAACTAAGGATAGAGGGATTTTGCTCCATAACGCTTATACCAGTCATTTAATTTATTAAAGCGAGAGATCAAGAGCGCCTTCACGCTTAAGGACATAGGCTGCATCCTGATTCTCCATCCCTTTTCAGAAGTGTGCACTTGCACACTCCCTGTCATGGATTTAAAATTATAGGAATGGTGTAAGCATTGGCTAGAGGGAGTTTACATCCATGCGAGAAAGTGTACTAGTGGAATTGACTATATATATTCAGATCAAATTGCACTCAAGAAATGTTCTCCCCTACAATGGGTCATATTAGCTGGCTATCCTGGGGTAAAAACACTTTTTAAAATCCATGACATTATCTTTGTAAATCATAGTTTAAAAAAAGAATGTGATTACGTACCTTTGACGACGGGAAAGGACGTCAGAAGATCTTCTAGTTATAGTTACAGCACAATAAAAATTGTCATTACCGCCACCAACTTATACGGGGTGTAATAACGGCCGTGGTTGATGCTTTTTACTCGTAAATTACGATATGAAACGTCGATTGGAACATTCTGACCAACTAGTGGGTCAGGCGGCGCCCCTCTGTCTGATTCATATCTCATGATTTCTGATGATAGCTTCCGATTATATATGATATATTACTATCGACTGATTGGTTCTGTACGGGGTGTGCTAGCTTAGCTAACCAAACCATCATCTTAGCTTTCTGTTATGAAAATCAAATTCAACAATGCAAATAATGTTTTCAATTAGACTTTTGCTTTCAAATGCAGCAAAAAAATAGAACATGTAAGAATGAACTTCATAGCCATTCAATTATACCGTGCATTCAGTAGAGGTGCGTGGGTAAAATCACCAGGGAAGCCAATCCATAAAAAAAAGCCATATTACAACCTGTGTTGTGATATTTGCGTTGTTTGCTCTATAATTAGTTCATATGCCTTGACGCCGTTACATATAGGCCTAAGGCCGAGACAATAAGAAGACAAAGTGGCAGAATAAATTCAACCACACATTTGTTTCATTACAAAACCAGAGAGGAACATCTGTCCGGTGAAGTCCACAAAACATATTGCATGTAACAAACAGTTACATGATTTACAGCATGGTCAAGCAAGGTAATGTTTTCGACATTTTCGGACTTCTAAACAACTATTGATATAGAACCACTAGTTACCGGAAGTCGCAAAGAAAACAGGAGCTGCCTCCACTATTCCAGCACCATTTCAACTTCAACATTTCAACATCATCTAATCACCTATGCTTAGTCTAATACAACTAAAATATACCAAAACGATTTAGTCCCAATCAACGTAAGCTAAATATGATGTGGCTGTCCATGGTACTGATTTCTGTGTGTGGCGTGTGTGTGTGTGTGTGTGCGTGCGTGTAAGTAGAAAAAACATGTTGACTCACCCTACTTGTAGACAAACGCCAATGCCATCCTCCTCTTTCATGTTGCCTAAACGGTCTATGACTCTGTCATACAGTACACGCTTTTACACTGAACAAAAATATAAACGCAACATGCAACAATTTCAAACATTTTACTGACTTACAGTTCATATAAGGAAATCAGTCAATTGGAATAAATGTATTAGGTCCTAATCTATGGATTTCACATGACTTGGCAGGGGCGCAGCCATGGGTGGGACTAGGAGGGCATAGGCCCACCCACTGGGGAGCCAGGCCCAGCCAATCAGAATGAGTTTTTCCCCACAAAAGAGCTTTATTACAGACAGAAATACTCCTCCGTTTCATCATCTGTCCGGGTGGCTGGTCTCAGACGATCCTGCAGGTGAAGAAGCCGAATGTGGAGGTCCTGGGCTGGCATGGTACAGAGTATGTGAGCGGAGTCGAGTGGTTGAAAATTGGGCTCATTGCTCATGGAGCGGTGCTCCATGTCCTTTCCAACCACTCCCTAAAAACAGCTCAGCGCTCACAGGAAAAAAAACTGCTGCTCCAAATTCGCTCCATTCATTAAAATCACAATTTAACTAACACCCATTTATTTTTGTGACTACCTGGACCTACCATTTGGTTTTGAAGCATTGAAACCAACCCATATGATTTGAATGAAAAGTATTTGAATAAACATGAAAAGGTGAATGTACGAAGCACACATCATTTAAAATAGGCTACATGTCATATTAAACAGCATAAATAGGTCAGGAGCCAGACAGGGAGCCTAAGAAGGAACAAAAATGATTTATTTAGGCTATATTATTTCAATTATTTCAAGGCTATAGCCTACAAAGAAATACATTGTGAAGCGTTTGCAAGTGCGACACAATAGGCTGGTAGGGAAATAAAGCGCTCAGCATTTATAGTCTATAAATTGCGCATATAGGCTGTAACTTACTTAGAATTAAATACAAATTAAATGAAAAATTACTTATTAGTGCCTTTGAATTCATTTTTAGAGTTTGGCCAGTCTGTGGCTTCAGGCTTATGCGATGATGTTTTTTTTCTTCTATTGGTAGGCCTAAAGGTTTTTAGGCAAAATAACCCAATCAAAACGGAAAGCTCCTTGAACGTGGGTTTATGCCAGGCCTATTGGGCCAAAATCATATATGACCTATTGTATAGATAATAGAACAAAAATGAACGAAACGTTTAAGAGATCTGATTTTTAGTTTTTAAATACTTTTCTACAATGACACACTTAGTTATCTACCCACCTCGTTCCTTTCTTTTAGCATGTGCACGTAGTAAATACACCATCATGCTTTCGGGATACGTGTCTTTTCAGATTCCACAATGATTCTTTAGTTGTGGACACTACATCACCGCATGCTGGGCATGCCCTGAACTAGTGAAGTGAGCGCTACTGGAGCGAAATTCGAGTGGGCGAGAAGTCCGATGCTCCAGCCTTTGGGAATCTCGCTCCACCCTCCAGTCAAATTGGGCACGCTCCGCTCCGCTCCTCGCTCTGCTCCAGCTCTGCTCCGCTCACATACTCTGGCGTGGTTACACGTGGTCTGCGGATGTGAGGCCGGTTGGACCTACTGCCAAGTTCTCTAAAACGACGTTGGAGGCAGCTTATGGTAGAAAAATTAACATTAAATTATCTGGCAACAGCTCTGGTGGACATTCCTGCAATCAGCATGCCAATTGCACACTCCCTCAAACTTGAGACATCTGTGGCATTGTGTTGTGTGACAAAACTGCACATTTTAGAGTGGCCTTTTATTGTCCCCAGCACTAGGTGCACCTGTGTAATGATCATGCTGTTTAATCAGCTTCTTGATATGCCACACCTGTCAGGTGGATGGATAATCTTGGTAAAGGAGAAATGATCACTAACAGGGATGTAAACAATTTGTCCACAACATTTGAGAGAAATAAGCTTTTTGTGCATATGGAACATTTCTGGGATCTTTTATTTCAGCTCATGAAACATGGGACCAACACTTTACATGTTGCGTTTATATTTTTGTTCAGTATACTTTTTGCTGTCCTAGGTTACCTGGCTAAAATACTTGCTCGCTAGCCTAACTTCCTTTCATGGGCAACGATATACCAGGCTAGCTAGTTAACATTAGCATACTATATCTAGCTACATGTTGAACTTCCATCCTCTCAGGCCAGGGGCACAATGTATGAATTTATGGTTGGATCAGAATCGCCGTTATAATCATTTGCCAGTACAGAGAATGAACTAAAACCACAAATCCCTATCTCTATCCATGGCTAATTTAGGAAAGGGACGATTTTAGCTCTAGCCACCGGATGACAACAACACATTGAAATGCAACAATTCAAGTTTTATTTTCTGTCAATAATTACGTTTGGCTTCTGATGTGATTGATCTGAAGCCAAATCCAAACTGTCTCCCCTTGACACTTTTTCTTGGTGCGCCAGGACCATTCACAGCTGAGCTAACTCAGTTTAGCTCAATGCTGATTGGCTATTATTTTTTATTTTATTTTATCAAGGGAGGCCAAATACTCGCTGGCTTCCCTTGCATTCAATGCTATGGGCGGCAACAATGTCATGCTCTTTCTGACCAGACAGCATCAGATAGATACCCTACACATATTGAGACAGAGGGGCGCTGTTTCGTTCACTCGGATGCTTTCTCAGGTGAGATACATTCAACAGCCTTTTGCGAATTGAAGGAAATTACTGAAACAAAGAGACTAAATAAATTAATTTGTATCTTGGTAAAAAAAAAATGGGGAAGCTTGGCCTCCCTTGGCATCCATGAATACACGCCACTGCGTGCATTATAGGGAAATAATGCACGCTTTAGAATGCCCTTCAAGCCAATCAGAAACAAGTATTCAACAATGCCATGGTATAAGTAAGGGATAATCAACTAGGGGCTATGCTTTTCTATGGAAAATAATGAACAATGTGGAAGGTGTGTTCCACAACACGCTAGCAGAGTGGAACTGACCTTCCAAGGAGTTGCATTATTTTCCATAGAACGCATAGAGCCCCGAGTTGATTATCCCTTTCATACCATGGCTATAATTTAAGACATTTACCGGTAGAAATGTGTTCAACATCCACTGAAGTAGTTAGCAAGTTTACTAGATAGCTAGCTACAGTAGTTGCCACGGTAACCAAACAAACAGACTTGCTACTTTAGCTAACCAAACCCCCAGCCCTAGCTTGCCATTATGAAAATCGAATTCAACAATGCCAATAATGTTTTCAATTTGACTTTTGCTTTCAAAAGCAGCTCAAACAAACCTTGTAAAAATTAACTAGCCATTGAATTCTACCGTGCAAATATACTGTGCGTTATAGGGAAATAATGCACACTCTAGAATGCCCTTCAAGACAGTCAGAAATGAGTATTCAACAATGACATGGTATAAAATAAGATAATCATCCATGAACATTTTGACAATTGTGTCAATAGGTTATTATTAAATAACAATGTAATTATACCTAAATGCCACTGAGCACTTGTTGTAGTGTGAACATAGTACAGGTGGCACTCACAGCACTTCCGGTGGCCCACTTTGGTGCGTTTGGCCAGGGACACAATCTCATGGTGGGAGAACATCTTGGCCTTGTGTGTGGAATCCCTGGAGGCCCCACACAGGGGCTGGCTACACATGTTACAGTAGTACATCGCCCGTGTCCTGTAACACTCACACATGCACATGTGCACGCACACACACACGCAAATAAAACACACACAATGATCCATAATAATTAATGAGCCATGTTAAGAGCTATAGCATGTCATTTCTGAGAGCATCTGTTGTGTTGTACCTGTTTGTTACTCTCCTGGTCACAGTTGGCACACTGGACTGTCTCTTCACAGTCATCAGTAGAGTTGTCAACCAGGAACTTCAGCAGACGGTCCCCTGGTGGGAGTGCGTTCATTCCCTTTACAACTGATGGGTTCAGCAACAAAAACACAGTAAAACATTCTTCCTTCAGATTTCTATTTTCTGCTACACTGATCATAAAAAGTAGTGAGTTGCATTCCCATGTCTCTCCAGGAGATGGTGCATAATCATATCTAATCACAGAAGCTTTGCTACAATTCTTTCAATTCAGTACATGACAGTACTTTGTATTACAGGCAAGATGAATGGCATCTCATAAACATGTCAAACATTAATACATTTTAGAGCATAGGCATGCACCCTCTAACATTGACACACAGTATTGGGACGTACCATTGACTGGAAAAGAATAGGGGAACTACTCATTCATCCTTGGTAATATTCTGCTAAACAATATTAAAACACACTTGTATTGGTGAATTGCAAGACCTTCAGGAAATTCCTCTTGCTTCTGTTAGGCCCGTTGGTTCCTTGTTATGGGAACATACGTTTTTGGATTCCCATTGGTTCTGGGAAAGAAGCCATACGTTTCCAGACCGGTAAAACTGAACGTTCTTTAAAACGTTCTGAGAACGGAAAATGAACATTGCCTGATCTGGGAACGCACATTTTTAAGTTGCAGGGAGGTTCTGAGAACATTTTACTATGGTTCCCTGAAAGTTTTTCTGGGAGGTTTTATTAACGAGAGAGAACGTAAATTATAGATTATTTAGATTTTTTTTTTTATCACTGAATGTTTCAAGTAAGACTTTTAACAACACTGTTAGCATGATTTGGTTTAATTGTTTTGAACTTCAAGCACATATAGGACACATGGAAATTAATTTGCTTAGGCATTAAATCATACAAACACATTCCTTTTTTATTGTGGCACGGTATCAGTCAGATTCAAACCTATGATCTTCTGTTCTCTAGCCATGGAATTAGTCAACTGCACCACCACGATGGATGCCATGCTTTTTTGTCTATTCAAACAGACGCAATTTCAAGGAAACAAACACTCATTAAGATCAGGTGTGGCCAATTAGTGGGCGTGGCCAACACACCTGAACACACTTAACAAGATTGAAGATAGAGAGAGTTTTGTTGACGCTGAGAACGGAATGTATATGTTTTTAAATAACATTCTTAGAACGTGCTAGCTGTGCCACTAGAGATCCTGGTTCGAATCCAGGCTCTGTCGTAGCCGGCCGCGACCGGGAGACCCATGGGGCGGCGCGCAATTGGCCCAGCGTCGTCCAGGGTAGGGGAGGGAATGGCCGGCAGGGATGTAGCTCAGTTGATAGAGCATGGCGTTTGCAACGCCAGGGTTGTGGGTTTGATTCCCACAGGGGGTATGAAAAAATAAATAAATGTATGCACTAACTGTAAGTCGCTCTGGATAAGAGCGTCTGCTAAATGACTAAAATGTAAATGTAAAATGTTACTAATGTTTTATTGTGGTTTTTATGGAAAGTTTTCTTAGTGTTCTGAGAACATTACTTTAAATGAAACCTGCAGAAAACGTTATGCTGAAATACTGAAATTCGTATGATATGTTTTACGTTTGGTATGGTTACATAAGACAGAAGGTTACTTTAACGCAAACATCTAGCAACCCAAAGGTTGCGTGTTCGAATCTCATCATAGACAACTTTAGCATTTTAGCAACTACTTACTACTTTTTACTATAGCTACTTTGCAACAACTTAGCATGTTAGGTAACCCTTCCCCTAACCCAGGGGAGGGCAAACATTTTGGCTCAAGGGCCACATTGAACTTTTGAAACCAAGTGAAGGGCCACATACTATATGCGTGACAAAACATGTGAAGCCTTTGTTCACGTTGACACACAACTAGTTGTAGGTGTACGTATGCTGCTAAGATTGTAGAATAATTATGTCACTGTACCATCTCTACCCTTCTAAAGTACAATCAGACTCACAACCACAAAAGTGCAAACTTTTGAAATATGAAAAATGCATGTTTATATGATTGGAAACAGCAGATGTCTGATACAGCACTGTAAAGACCATCTCAACTCCTAAAGTACAATCTGAGTGACAAAACGTATATAATTTGAGTTCATTATTTGTGTATGGCCTGTTTTATGACAGCATATTATGGAACAGTTCTCATTTCACCTCCACTCTAAAAAAGAACATTGTGAGCCACATACAGAGCATACATAAAACAACATTTGGCTTCATGTTGATGTATAGATGGTCTATATATTAAAGCATATTACTGAACAGGTCTCAAATAATCTCAACCCAAATAAAGTACAATCTGAGCCATTGTAGTAAGTGTTCAGTGTCAAATGAATGGGGACAAGGCCAGTATCCAAGTGCATTGCTGGATAGTTCTCACTGCAATAACCATCACCATAATAAAAAATACATAGCCTAAGACTGTTGAAAACAGGGAAAGAAAACATAGGCCTGACCTACCCCACTCTTGGTGATTTCGGTCTTAATGTGAGCAAATGGGTCTATTCACCTCTCTTGGAAAGGGCATCAAAGTCTGGTGTCATTGTTTAAGTAGAGATGCTCAGAACAGCAGACAAGTGGTAATTTGTTACATTTGACCTGTGACGGGATTTGTTGTAGTTCATGACTGAGAAAGTTTATTCACATACATTTGGACCTGAATAAAACCAGCATCCTCTGGGCGTGCTTTTTCATGTTTGGAAAAGTTAGCCATAAAACTGTTCTATTGTGGCTGTGTTGTACTCTTTAAAGCACTGTCACACTGGATGTCGATGAGCTCCAGTTGTGTGTCTGGTGGTGCTTTCTCGCTGTCGAAAGACAGCGGGCATGATACAAGCTCCAGCTCAGTCTCAATCTTGCCAAAGTCTGAGAAGTGGTGGGAGAACTCAGCATGCAAATTGCTGAATGTGCTACTGTATGTCACAGTGCTGCACAGCGGTGTGGGCGCGTTTAGTGCTGCCAGTGTCGGGAAATGAGTGAGAGACCTGTTGCTCATTTGTCTGGAGAACAACATACACTATATAAACAAAAGTATGTGGACACCCCTTCAAATGAGTGGATTTGAACCACAAAGCCATGCAATCTCCATAGGAAAACATTGGCAGTAGAATGGGCTCAGTGACTTTCAACGTGGCACTGTCAAAGGATGCCACCTTTCCAACAAGTCAGTTCATCAAATTTCTGCCCTGCTAGAGCTGCCCTGGTCAACTGTAAGTGCTGTTATTGTGAAGTGGAAACGTCTAGGAGGAACGGCTCATCCACAAAATGGTAGGCCACACAAGCCGAGTGCTGAAGCGCGTAGCACGTACAAATCGTCTGTCCTCGGATGCAACACTCACTACCGAGTTCCAAACTGCCTCTGGAAGCAATAACTGTTCGTGAAATGGGTTTCTATTGCCGAGCAGCCGGACACAAGCCTAAGATCACCATGCGCAATGCCAAGCGTCGGCTGGAGTGGTGTAAAGCTTGCCACCATTGGACTCTGGCGCAGTGGAAACGCATTCTCTGGAGTGATGAATCACGCTTCACCATCTGTCAGTCCGACGGACAAATCTGGGTTTGGCGGATGCCATCAGAACTCAAACTGCCCGAATGCATAGTGCCAACTGTAAAGTTAGGTGGAAGAGGAATAATGGTCTGGGGCTGTTTTTCATGGTTCGGACTAGGCCCCTTAGTACCAGTGAAGGGAAATCTTAACGCTACAGCATATAATGACATTCTAGACGATTCTGTGCTTCCAACTTTGTGGCAACAGTTTGGGGAAGGCTCTATCCTGTTTCACCTTGCACAAAACGAGGTCCATACAGAAATGGTTTGTCGAGATCGGTGTGGAAGAACTTGACTGGCCTGCACAGAGCCCTGACCTTAACCCCATCGAACACCTTTGGGATGAATTGGAACGCCGGCTGCGAGCCAGGCCTAATGACCCAACATCAGTGCCCGACCTCACTGTGGCTGAATTGAAGCAAGTCCCCGCAGCAATGTTCCAACATCTAGTGGAAAGCCTTCCCAGAAGAGTGGAGGCTGTTGCCGTGACGTGCCTTTCATTATTGTGATAACTATTATTTCTCGAATAATTACCTACTATGTTTAATTGTTACTAGATTAAATTAATAATGTAACAATTAATTCATTAGGAATTTGGGGCACCACGGGAAAAGTTGTTTAACAAGTTACCGTTTCCCGAATTAACTCTAAAGATATATTGATATCTCTTATCATTTAACAGTCATTTATTCATCATTTACCTCATATCAGTCTCATTCTGAAAGTCTGCACGAACCCGGGTCTTACTGATCATTCCGTACCACACAAATTCATTTAATTATTTATTTACTAACTAATTAAAAATGATAACACAAGATACACGGTATAAGTAGGGATTAGAAACTTAATACAATGAAAACGGGTCTCTAGTGGACTAACACAATAATACTTGTTACAAAAGATGGTGATTTAAAGAGAGAGAGAGAGCGAGAGAAAACACTTGGATACACATGGACCTATACTCATAGTAATCCTAATAATTTGCCAAGAACTGCCGCCCGTTTGGTAAGAAGTAATGCATGTATTTACCTGTTTGTCTTCGTCGTCTCTGTTGGACCCAGGCCTTCGTGGGAAGGGTTGATTGGGCCTTCTCTTTTAGATGTAAGGTTCAGATGTAAGGCTCAGATTGTCCACAAGAGGTCAAAATGTCCTTCTTCTTTGTCGTCTGTTTACTTTCACTCGTTCTGGAAGTG